TTCTTCATGTCTCTTCTACATCAACATGTGTCCCCTCTTCTTCATGTCTCTTCTACATCAACATGTGTCCCCTCTTCTTCATGTCTCTTCTACATCAACATGTGTCCCCTCTTCTTCATGTCTCTTCTACATCAACATGTGTCCCCTCTTCTTCATGTCTCTTCTACATCAACATGTGTCCCCTCTTCTCCATGTCTCTTCTACATCAACATGTGTCCCCTCTTCTCCAATGGTCTCTTCTTACTCATCAACATGTGTCCCCTCTTCTTCATGTCTCTCTCTACATCACATGTGTCCCCTCTTCTTCATGTCTCTTCTACATCAACATGTGTCCCCTCTTCTTCATGTCTCTTCTACATCAACAGTGTCCCCTCTTCTTCATGTCTCTTCTTCATCAACATGTGTCCCCTCTTCTTCATTCTCTTCTACATAAACATGTGTCCCCCTCTTCTTCATGTCTCTTCTACATTAACATGTTTCCCCTCTTCTTCATGTCTCTTCTTCATCAACATGTGTCCCCTCTTCTTCATGTCTCTTCTACATCAACATGTGTCCCCTCTTCTTCCTGTCTCTTCTACATCAACATGTGTCCCCTCTTCTTCCCTCTTCTTCAATGTCTCTTCACATCAATGTGTCCCCTCTTCCTCTTCTTCATGTCTCTTCTACATCACATGTTCCCCTCTTCTTCTGTCTCTTCTTCTTCATGTCTCTTCTACATCAACATGTGTCCCCTCTTCTTCATGTCTCTTCTACATAACATGTGTCCCTCTTCTTCATGTCCTCTTCTACATTACATGTGTCCCCTCTTCTTCATGTCTCTTCTTCATCAACATGTGTCCCCTCTTCTTCATGTCTCTTCTACATAAACATGTGTCCCCTCTTCTTCATGTCTCTTCTCTTACATTAACATGTTTCCCCTCTTCTTCATGTCCTCTTCTTCATCACATGTGTCCCCTCTTCTTCATGTCTCTTCTACATCAACATGTGTCCCCTCTTCTCCATGTCTCTTCCACATCAACATGTGTCCCCTCTTCTTCATGTCTCTTCTACATCAACATGTGTCCCCTCTTCTTCATGTCTCTTCTACATCAACATGTGTCCCCCTCTTCTTCATGTCTCTTCTACATCAGACATGTGTCCCCTCTTCTTCATGTCTCTCTACATCAACATGTGTCCCCTCTTTTTCATGTCTCTTCTACATCAACATGTGTCCCCTCTTCTTCATGTCTCTTCTACATCAAACATGTGTCCCCTCTTCTTCATGTCTCTTCTACATCAACATGTGTCCCCTCTTCTTCATGTCTCTTCTTCATCAACATGTGTCCCCTCTTCTTCATGTCTCTTCTACATCAACATGTGTCCCCCTCTTCTTCATGTCTCTTCTACATCAACATGTGTCCCCTTCTTCTCCATGTCTCTTCTACATCAACATGTGTCCCCTCTTCTTCATGTCTCTTCTACATCAACATGTGTCCCCCTCTTCTTCATGTCTCTTCTACATCAACATGTGTTCCCTCTTCTTCATGTCTCTTCTACATCAACATGTGTCCCCTCTTCTCCATGTCTCTTCCACATCAACATGTGTCCCCTCTTCTTCATGTCTCTTCTACATCAACATGTTTCCCCTCTTCTTCATGTCTCTTCTTCATCAACATGTGTCCCCTCTTCTTCATGTCTCTTCTTCATCAACATGTGTCCCCTCTTCTTCATGTCTCTTCTACATCAACATGTGTCCCCTCTTCTTCATGTCTCTTCTACATTAACATGTGTCCCCTCTTCTTCATGTCTCTTCTTCATCAACATGTGTCCCCTCTTCTTCATGTCTCTTCTACATAAACATGTGTCCCCTCTTCTTCATGTCTCTTCTACATTAACATGTTTCCCCTCTTCTTCATGTCTCTTCTTCATCAACATGTGTCCCCTCTTCTTCATGTCTCTTCTACATCAACATGTGTCCCCTCTTCTTCATGTCTCTTCTACATCAACATGTGTCCCCTCTTCTTCATGTCTCTTCTACATCAACATGTGTCCCCTCTTCTTCATGTCTCTTCTACATCAACATGTGTCCCCTCTTCTTCATGTCTCTTCTACATCAACATGTGTCCCCTCTTCTTCATGTCTCTTCTACATCAACATGTGTCCCCTCTTCTTCATGTCTCTTCTACATCAACATGTGTCCCCTCTTCTTCATGTCTCTTCTACATCAACATGTGTCCCCTCTTCTTCATGTCTCTTCTACATCAACATGTGTCCCCTCTTCTCCATGTCTCTTCTACATCAACATGTTGTCCCCTCTTCTCCATGTCTCTTCTACATCAACATGTGTCCCCTCTTCTTCATGTCTCTTCTACATCAACATGTGTCCCCTCTGTGGAAAGAGACTCTGAAAGTTTCAGGAACAAAGATTCTCTCTCTTTTTGATCCATTTCTTTAAAAACCTGAAAATGAGCTGATCAGATTTTGGCCACTTTATGATGTCATAACGATGTGTTGTCTTGTGTAACCATTAGCCAATCAGCAACCAAGGTAACCCCCCCCCCCACCCTTATCACCTGAATCTCCTCCTAGAGCACCATTGAGTTCTTTGTAACCAAATATCACCAAGAAAGCAGCAGCGTCTCCACTTCATGCGCAAACTGAAGAAAGCAGGTTTAATTCTGTGTGGACAGAGTTATCTGCTTTCACAGCAAACGATGCTGGCTTACCGGGATGTTTGATATGTGGAGAGAAGTGGTCAACTGTGCTGCAGCCTTTACGTATCGAGGAACAACACGGGAGAGGAAGACAGCTGACGATCTTCAGTCATCATTCCATCAGTTAAAGGTGGGTTATGTCATTTATTTCAGAAACACTTTTTGTTATATTCCATGGAATGCTCTTAACATCCCGATATATATATAGATATATATAAATATATACAAACATTTCATCTCTGGAAGCCGTAGTACTGTAAAAAGCACGACCAATCATCTGAGCCGGAAAGAGGTTTAGACTCGCAGCACACATGGACATTAAAGTCTCCGCAGATCAAAACACGATCATATTTCACCATGATCCGCGGACCGGGAGCAGTCAGTCGGGCAGGAGGAGCTGCCAGCGGGCCCAGCAGAGGCCGCAGCTCCGGAAAAACAGGGCGAATCCACCGAACCCTCGGATGGCGTGCAGCGGGAGGGCCATGACATCTTATGCGTAGATCAGTCACGGAAGAAGCCGTCAGGTGTGCTTTTTGATGGACAAGCGCACCACCGCGCTTTCCCCGTCGTCTAAAGCGCTTTCGGTGAGGCAGGATGCAGGGCAACCGGCGCAGGTAGGTGGGAATATCTAACAGTAGAGGGGGGGGGTCGATTTACGGTTGCCAGATATAGGTTTGGGCAGCAGTATAAACTCCAGTGAGGGTCTTAGGTGGAGGAGAGCTTGGCGATCATAGACAAGCAGAGCAGGGACATTCTGACAAACATAAAACAAAAACAGGATAGCTAAAGGCAGAGAGCTGAGGGAGCGTCATGCCGACATGCCATCTTGAAATCCTAGAGTTAGCCTCGGTTAGCCTGCGCTGGAACCATATTTATTTTTTGTGACCTCAGTTCTGACTTGAGAGGGAATGTTTGGTCAAACACTTTGTGTTTTGTCTCATAGTGGCGTTTTGGCACTTTTAATGAGCGCCACGGTCTCTGAACAAATGAGACACACTGGCTCTGTGCTCCCAGTGGGCAGGATGAACATGAATGAGTCCACTCAGGGTTCAAAGCTCTGTTCTCACTGTCCACGTTCCTCTTCTTGGAGAGCGCCATGTGTAATTATTTGTCTCTCCCTGTCTTATTCTCTTCACTCACTTTCCTCTCTCCGCTTCTCTCTGCCGCTCTCTCATCTCTTCTTCTGTGTTTCTCTCCCTGTATCTCTCTCTCATCTCTTCTTCTGTGTTTCTCTCCCTGTATCTCTCTCTCGTCTCTTCTTCTGTGTTTCTCTCCCTGTATCGCACTCTCGTCTCTTCTTCTGTGTTTCTCTCCCTGGTTGCGTTCCGATAATCCAAAAATCAGCTCCTAAATTCTAACCCTATCTCCTATTCCTTGACCTCTGAGTGAAACGTCACGGGGTTAAGGGATAGTGGATAGGAGAATTCAAAAGGACTTAGGATAAGAGACTGCGGTACTTTAGAGAATCCGAATGCACTTTCACTATCCGACGTGTTTATGATGCCCCAGCGGACGTCATGAATGTGCGTCTGCTGCTGTGGGGAAACTATGGAAACTACAGTTCTCTATACAGCGGACTACAACATGGATGTTTAATAAGAACGAGGGACTACTGTAAACTCATCTAGAGACTCTGCACCGTGCTCTGATGCTGTTGCTTTATGCTTTATGAACGTGAACAACAGAGAAACATATTCTTCATGACCAAAGTTGGAATTGAAATAAAAAAGGAAAGTGAAACTTATGCTCGTCACCCTCTCCCTCCGGTCCACATTAATACAAATGATCCCAATACGTATGATTGTATGAACTATGAAAAGATCTTAAAATCAATACAAATGTATTTATTATAAACGTTAGTCCTTAACATCTATCACTGTGTATATCACCATTCAAACATCTTTTAAAAGTTGAACAAACCCCACACAGCTCAGTAAAGACTGTGAGATAGGGGTGTAACGGTATCCGTATTCGTCCCGTACCGTCACGGTTCGGACGTCACGGTTCGGCACATGCAGTCACACGGCGAATACGCCTTTTTTTACGAGTGAGAAAAAAGTCTGTCACTCAGGGCAGTATTACACTATATATAATCCAGGGGGCGGTATTGCGCCTAAAAGCCAGCCGCCCGTAAATAACAAATGAAGAACAAGAACAAAACACAACAAAACGAACACAATACATGAAGAAGAAAAGTTAGCAGCTATGGCGAGTTCACACAACACACAGGAGCAAGAAGACCCACCTGCTTCTTTTAAATCAGCTGTGTGGGAACATGTCGGGTTCCCTGTGGACTACAACAATGATGGGGTGCGAGTAATGGATCGGACGAGGACGATGTGTCGGCGTTGTTCGACAGCGGTGCGGTATGCTAGTGGTAACATGTCAAACATGCTCAATCACATCCGAGTCAGTCTCAGTCCCCAGCGAGAGGGTTTTCTCGACGGCAGGTGACATAGTTACCGCCAACAGATCTGCCCTCACTACTGACAACGTAGACAAACTCATCTTTTTGAAGAACAACTTGAAAATAGAGTAAAGCTTGAGTACCTTTATTTAGGCATAATGGCCTCACACACTCACAAGTGAATTACACATGTTAGACATTGCTCCTAAAGGTACAGATTTTATTTTGTTTTATATTTATCATTGTATTTATTTTATATGTTGACATCAGGAGATGTTATACAGTTCTGTATTGCCTTTTATTGATTGTGATTGAAACACTTTCTTATTATTTATTTTAATATTTTCAAGACATTCTTTTTAGTTGTACAGCTTATTTAACCTTTTTGTTTGACATCAGCCATTATAAATAATATGGCCATCTGAGTGTGTGTGTGTGTGTTACTGTTTGTGGTTTGTTTTTAACTGTGTAATACAGTTAATGATTCCAAATGTTAGAGTTCCTTATTTTCATACCAAAACTTGCACTACTGTTAAAAATAAATAACAGCAAAAAAAAATTATGCATTTGGGACTTTTTTTTGCTTTTCCTTGTTGTACCGAACCCGTACCGAACCGTGACCCCCAAACCGAGGTATGAACCGAACCGTGACTTCTGTGAACCGTTACACCCCTACTGTGAGATGTTGACTTTATTTGATCATTTCAGTAAAAACTAACGTTCATATTTCTCTCTTTGATTATAATACTGATGAACGTTCAGAAAAAAGCACTTTGGCAACTTACCACATACGTTTTAAAATGCTTAATAAGCACCGTAACTTTCATGATATCATTTCTCGGTCATAATCGGTTGTTTCCGTGAACGGCCGACTGTTGAGTGACGGCAAATTCTGCGGCTGCAATGCATTGTGGGGCAGCATTTTCTCCTCTCTTTTCGGTTAGGGAGGTCCAGTGGTTCCTAAGCTAAAGGAGGTTATAAAGGAAGTTTGAAACCTCCTTTCCTTTCATTTGGAGAATTGGAACAGCACTTATCATGGCTGCCAGTGACGTACTTCCGGGTCATTTCACTCCGTTAGGAAGGTTCCTAAGCTAAATGGACTGTTGGAATGCAACCCGGTACTTTAGAGAATCCGACTGCACTTTCACTATCCGACGTGTTTATGATGCGCCAGCGGACGTCATGAATGTGCGTCTGCTGCTGTGGGGAAACTATGGAAACTACAGTTCTCTATACAGCGGACTACAACATGGATGTTTAATAAGAACGAGGGACTACTGTAAACTCATCTAGAGACTCTGCACCGTGCTCTGATGCTGTTGCTTTATGCTTTATGAACGTGGACAACAGAGAAACATATTCTTCATGACCAAAGTTGGAATTGAAATAAAAAAGGAAAGTGAAACTTATGCTCGTCACCCTCTCCCTCCGGTCCACATTAATACAAATGATCCCAATACGTATGATTGTATGAAAATATCTTAAAATCAATACAAATGTATTTATTAAAAACGTTAGTCCTTAACATCTATCACTGTGTATCACCATTCAAACATCTTTTAAAAGTTGAACAAACCCCACACAGCTCAGTGAAATGTTGACTTTATTTGATCATTTCAGTAAAAACTAACGTTCATATTTCTCTCTTTGATTATAATACTGATGAACGTTCAGAAAAAAGCACTTTGGCAACTTACCACATACGTTTTAAAATGCTTAATAAGCACCGTAACTTTCATGATATAATTTCTCGGTCATAATCGGTTGTTTCCGTGAACGGCCGACTGTTGAGTGACGGCAAATGCTGCGGCTGCAATGCATTGTGGGGCAGCATTTTCTCCTCTCCTTTCGGTTAGGGAGGTCCAGTGGTTCCTAAGCTAAAGGAGGTTATAAAGGAAGTTAGAAACCTCCTTTCCTTTCATTTGGAGAATTGGAACGGCACTTATCATGGCTGCCACTGAGGGACTTCCGGGTCATTTCACTCCGTTAGGAAGGTTCCTAAGCTAAATGGACTATTGGAACGCAACCCCTGTATCGCACTCTCATCTCTTCTTCTGTGTTTCTCTCCCTGTATCGCTCACTCCTCTCTTTCGCCCCCTGTCGGCGGCGGTTAAAATAGAATCGCCCGTCAAAATTGAAATCCCCTATTGATTATACACTCAAAAAAAGGACTTTGGCTGGCTGTTACATCAAATAAAATGTAACATGTATTTTCAACGTAATAATTTCATGTTTCCAAGATGAACGTGATGAAAACATGTATGGTTTGCATGAATTACCCTACTGAATGAACAATTCAGTAGGGTAGCGGGCCCCGGTATTAATCAAAGGAGTCCCGGGAATTAATTATTAAGGACTCTGGTGCCGTTAAGCTCCAATGTTATCAGTCTTTGTATCGGTAATGGAGACATTTAAAACATGTTATATGTATTATGCTACACAAACATTATATTGCAGTTGTAGTTTCGCCAACTCCGTTTTTAATACGCAAAAAGACTGCAAAATGCGTCTATGATTATTTTGAGTATTTTCGATCTTTCCAATCCAGCGTCTCTGTGCGAGGGGGCGGGGCAGTTTACACACGCGGCTGCTACTGTACATGCAGCATGCACGCACACACCTCCAATTATCTGTTTGAATCCTAAAATCCCATGTGTGAATATATATATATAGGAGCGAGAGATTCAGTATTAGCATTGATGCTTTTGTCTTTAGGTCTACGGACCATCGGTGTGATCACCAAGCTGGACCTGATGGATGAAGGGACAGACGCACGAGACATCCTGGAAAACAAACTACTGCCGCTCCGCAGAGGTGAGAACCCCCCCACACGCACACATTTTATTAAATCCTTGATTGGAATCCAGCTATTACATTACAATATTTACAGACTTTATATACTACCCAAAACGTGTGTCTTTTCTTTAGCGGTCAGCAAATCATCAATCTGCATTATTTTCCCTGTAATTCCTGACCTTGAAATTAAACAATTACTATGGTGTTAAATTGACTAACAGCTTTATTTGTATTGTTCCACATGTGAACAGTTCTCCAATTGTAGAAGTTATAATAATTTAATATTTGGTCGCAACGTTTGTCTTTATTCCATAACTCACATTGAACAACTGATATTTGTCTTAGGTTACATCGGGGTGGTGAACCGCAGTCAGAAGGACATTGATGGAAAGAAAGACATCCGCGCTGCTGAGAGGAAGTTCTTCCTGTCCCACCCGGGGTACAGACACATTGCAGAATGCATGGGCACACCACAACTGCAGAAGACCCTCAATCAGGTGAGACACACACGCAGGGCCGTCCCTCCCTACAGGCCGATCATGCAGGCTGGAAACTAGAGCATCACTCGAAGATGGGTTATTGTATGAGTCAAATGTCAAACTTTTGCCAATTGCCATATTAAAACATCAGCTGCAATTCACAACATGAAGAAGGCAGTTTCTGCATAGCGCATATAGGCTAATGGAGATTGTGGAGATTGATGTAAAGTATTATGGCAAAAAGTTTGATACAGCGTAATTCTGGTATATTCATTTTTATGTCACCTGATATAGGCTATGGGATGTTAAGTGTTGGTTTGTGAGAGAGATGTATGTGCGTTCATTTCAGGACTCCTAAAGGAGCAGGAGAATTGAGTCACACACAATTAGAGAGACAATGGTCCTTCTGATTCTGGGTGAGCTGACTTCGGGTGGAGGGAAGTTCAGAGATGGCCTGGGGTATGAAGACAGTTAGGCGTTGTTGGTGAGCTGGTCCTGAGCAGTTCATGAGATGATGATTGTTACATTTCCAACAAGTATGGCTTTCATAAAGAAACACATGACTTGTGTGATAAGCTACATAATAAGAGATGTTTTGTTGCAAAGTGAGCCTGTTTTGTTCTCTGCTGGCCCGCGCTCATTCACTGTGACACAGCATATTTTGCGTCTCCCAATGAGATGACCTGAAAAGATGACCAGCTGACCTAGCCCCCCCTGTCTTTTCTTGTATATCTCCTATATGAGTCCTGGCGTTCGCTCTCTCTTCTCATGCTGCCAGGACCGAAGGATCTACGCAGCACGCGAACCAGGGCAGGAGTGGGCCGGCCTACTCCTTACATTACAGTATAATTGTATTGTATTATATTGTGTTGTAATGTATTATATTGCATTGCATTATTACCTTTTATAATTAAAACAGATTATTGTTTAAACTGGTATGCTGGTGTTCTCTGATTTCCTTCCTGTTATGATTTTAAGCAGGACTCGTCAAAACGACACGCGGAGCCGAGTGGGGTTGTAAAAACCTCAAAACTCCTACAAGATGCAGTTATTTCCAGCATTCTTTATTTGTCATTCATTCAAGTATGTGATGCCTTTTTATCTGCTAATGTAAATACATGATTTATGCAATTGCATGTCTTAAACGGACTGAACTGCTAAATCAAACCTGTGAACAGTGACATCAAAATAGCCAATCTGAGTTTTGTGGGTTTTGTTTTTTTGTTGTAGGTGAATGCAGAATTTAAGAGAATCACAACAATTAATTTGCAATCCAAGTTCTTCTCTTCGCTGGATATTCACTCTACAAGCCTGATCGACGTGTATACCAAGAAAGGTGGAGTTCAAGGGAAGAAGATCAAAAGCATCATGCTTCCCATAACCCAGGTATGAAAACAATGTAAAGGGGACAAAGAAACTGTAGGAGCTGTACAAAGTCTAGGATGTTCCGTGAATAGCATAGCATCCGGAGCATTATGTTTTCGATATTTGTTTGACACTTACTGTACAGTAGCACCACATCCAGTGTGCGAAATACGGGGGGGTCCGGGGGAGCTCGACCCCCCCGATTAACACCTGAGCCCCCCTGAAAGCCTCAACAGCAACATTTAGGGGGGGTCTGAAATTATAATATGTATTTGTCACTTGCAATGGTCACTAAAATGTTTTTAAGCTTTCTATGTCCAGTATTCATAATTCAAAACATTTATTCACAAATATCTTCTATTTTGGCTGTCAAAAGCAGAGCCAGCCGCCGCCGGGTACGCTGCGTGACGCGGACACAAATTATGCAAATTAGCCATGCGCGGCAAAGAGGAGAGAAAGACGTTACATTAGAGAGGACTACAATGTCTAAGAGAAAGCTAAACCAAAGTGTTTCACTCGCGCACTTTGGGTTCACATCCAAAAAAGTGACACCACGAGATGACCAAGAGACACCCAGAGATGATGCTGATGATGCAGCAGCTAGCACAACACTCGCTACCAGAACCGTTAGCGAGTCGGGGGCTCCTGTCCCGCCCAGTCACTCCCCAGAAGGAGGTGAAGTTGAGGCAGAGCGCTCAGAAGACGCAGCAGTTGCGGAGGTAGCTGCTACTGCTGCTAGTGACTTTCCGCCGGCTGGTTGGACAACGAAGCAGGTGGGCGAATGGAAAGACCGCAACCCCTGGCTTGACATTAAGGCTGGAAAGTTAGGATGCTTAGTGTGTAGGAAAGCAAAAACGTTGCTGCTAAAGGGACCGGGTTTACACCTCGCGGAAGAATGGATCAATGGTGATGTTACTAGCCCTGATGCAAAACAGCTACGAAAGAAGATCTACAAACACAGGGACAGCCAGGCCCACGCGAGGTCAGTGGAAATAGTACAGATGAAAGACAAAGAAACCCTCCCAAACGGTTTCATTGATGTGTCCGATTTACTCGAGAAAACAACAGTCTCGTTTAGAACAGCTTACACCGTAGCAAAGGAAAGGCTATCTTATAAAAAGCTCAACCCCCTCATGCAGGAGCTGAATGGAGCCGAAGTTGGGAATATCCACAAATCTGACCATGCATGCGCAGAAATAATAAGTCACATTGCAAAGGAAATGCGCCGCAAGTTCGTCTCTAATGTGAAAGAAATGGATTCAAAGGTATCAATCACAATTGATGAAAGTACCGTTCACGGTCGTCCCTAATCATTTACGTAAGATGTGATGTCAGTGGTAAGGGGGATGTAGATAATGTGTTCCTGGATATAGTGGAACTTACAGATGGGGTCGATGCTGAATCAATTTATAACTCAATGATGGCGAGTCTATATAAAGCTGGAATGGATGATGACTTTTTGAAGACGCACCTAATAAGCATAGCCACCGATGGGGCTGCAGTGCTCACGGGAAAAGCCAGTGGGCTTGTCGTCAGGCTCAAAAACAAGTTTCCGAACGTGCAGTCTGTACACTGCCTGGCGCACAGACTAGAACTGTCAGTCAAACATGCTCTTAAAGAAGTGGGTGGCACTAATCAGTTTGAGATATTTATTTCACATTTATACTCACTCTCCAATCAGTCAACCAGGAATTCCAGATTGCTGAAAGAAGCAGCGGCCGAGCTCAACATGGAAATACTGAAAATAGGTCAAATTTTCACCATCAGATGGGTCGCCAGCAGCTTTAAAACAGTAAAAGCTGTATGGAAAGATTTCCCCGCACAAGCACTCCATTTTAAAACATCCAGTGAGAACGCATCACGTAATGATCTTGAGAGGCAAAAATACAAGGGACTTTTCAAGCACCTAACCAACTCAGGATTCGTGGAAGATTTGGCTGTCATGAAAGACATCCTGCGTGAACTCCAGAGCCTGTCTCTCAAGCTGCAGAGAAGAGAAATAACACTTGTGGACTCAAGTGTCCACATCAAACATCAATGTGTTGACCGCCATGAAGACGACCGGGGGGAGATCAAGAAGAAGGCTGAACAGGGCGTCTCATCTGGCTTTTTTAAGGACGTAGAGCTGACAGAAGGCAGGGGGAAAATAAACAAGCCTTGTTTTTATGAATCGGTGGTTGCTACTCTAACCAAGCGCTTACCGGAGTCAAGCTTGGTCCAGACGCTCAAAGCTCTTGATAAGCGCTTTTGGCCTGGAGAGCAGGAAGACTTGACTTTGTTTGGCGAACAAGAAGTGCACCGTCTGGCTAAATCGCTGGGAGAACCAGCCGGGGAGGCCATGGAGCAGTTTAGAGACTGGAAATTGCAGGGCACTCCACCGGGCAAAACACTGGAACGGCTATGCATAGCAAGTCGCACTTACCTCCCCACGTCTGCTGAGTGCGAAAGAGGCTTTTCCGCCGTGAATAACACCGACAACCAGAGCCGCAACAGGTTGCGCGAGGAGAGCCTGTCTTCGCTTCTGTTTGTGGACCTAAACGGACCCCCTTTGGACAAATTCGACCCAGTGCTGTTCGTGAAAAGCTGGATTAAAGCAGGACATCGTCTCTCTTCTTCTTGGAAACCAGGACGGCAACGAGAAGAAGTCGAGCCAAGGCATCTTTGGTCTATTCTCACTTAAGGTAAAAGACTATTTTTTCGATCTTTGCTGTGCATAAGATGAGCGTGTGCGTATGTCCTGTGTGGATTCCGGGGTTAAGAATAGCATAATTAGCCTTGGCGTTCAAGTTAGTTAGTGTGTGTGTGTGTGTGTGTGTGTGTGTGTGTGTGTGTGTGTGTGTGTGTGTGTGTGTGTGTGTGTGTGTGTGTGTGTGTGTGTGTGTGTGTGTGTGTGTGTGTGTGTGTGTGTGTGTGTGTGTGTGTGTGTGTGTGTGTGTGTGTGTGTGTGTTGTGTGTGTGAGACCAGCTCTGCTCCCATTTCCTCGCATAGAATCGAAAACAGATGGCTTTTTAACGGTCGCGTATTCATTCATATGAACGTTAGAATATATAATTATTTGACAGCGCCCGGTTGAGAAACGCTGCTACTACTGATTGTCTTGGATTGCATCCATGAAATATTGCATGGGCCACTGCATATTGAGAAATCTTCGACCGGTATATTGCGCAATAAACGGGAGATGGGGACCCCCCCGATTATTGACGGGTATTTCGCACACTGACCACATCCATTCCCCCAGTGGGTGTCATTGTATCAGAGTGAGCGGCATACTATTATGAAGGCCTAAAATAACGCACAACAAAGCTGTCCAGCAGTTTTTCATGGAAATAGCAGATGTTCCTACCCCAATGGTCAGAGTGTACTGTAGGGCTGCAGCTATCAATTATTTTAGTAATCGAGTATTCTATCAATTATTCCATTGATTAATCGAGTAATTGGAAACAGATTACCTTTTTAAAGCAAAAGTATTTCTTCAATAAAAAGCCATTTTAAATATTCAAAATAAGACTAATTGTTTTCCTTTTTTAGAAACATGTATTGCTTAAATTGCATAGCATATTATCTGTCCAAACTAAATCCATTTAATTAAAGTGCAATATTACATTCAGGGTTTTAAAGAAAACATTTGAGAAACCCAGTCTGCTTGTTGTTCTTAATGGGCTTTTTATTGCATGTTCTCTGACCTGCATACTTAGACTGACAGCATTGACGTGAGACGCGAATGCATCCTCAAAGGTCTTTGTGTCTACTTCAATGAAGATCCAGAGAAGCTGGTGAAGGAATACATGGTATGTTGATGTACCTTTTTCATCTTCACAAAGAGGAGGATGATCATAGTTGGAATGGATTGTGTTTCCTCTAAAACACCCTGAGGGAAATGTTGCCTTTATGATGATGTGTTAATGCTTTTTGGAAACAGTGTTTTTTGTTCTTTCTTTTTTTTCAATTTGGAAAACCCAAACTACATAAAGCTCAATATGACACATTATAGAAATGGGATGTAATGCACATCAGTGAAAATCACTCTCCTTCTTATTTGTTTTTTCACAGAGCATCGACAACAGCAGTCAAACGGCAATGGCAGAGACGGTCTTCGGAATATTTGTCATTCGACACGAAGGAGCAGAGCCTGGGGATGACCCGAGAACGTTGGGATCATTCTGGAGGGGCTCGAAGTGCTGGATGAGTTGGGAAACGTATCTTTTGCGGTGGCGATGATGTTTGCTCTCGTGTATGCTCTAAACTTGAGCTACCCTCCAGAGCTGAAGTTTACATTTGAAGCACTGCAGAAAATAATGATGGAGCTAGATGGAAACCGACTATCCACAAAAGGACAAGTTCTCAAAACATTGCTTTCCCGTGCCTAATATCACTGTTTGGGATCGCCTCATGTTCCAAAAACACGCAGCCATCAGAGATTGGGTGACTCACCTCTTTGACAGAAATGTTGATTGTATGCAAGAAGTATAAAAGTAAGCATTCAAAGTTGGCTGTAGCATGGTTACGTGGACCTCACTGAGCAGAGGGCTGTGCGAGGAGGCAGATGTTACCATGTTGCCTTATTTGGTCTACTGTTGAAACTCAAGTTTGTTATACTGTTCACCCTAAAGTTGAAACATTTTAATATTTGGGAAGAAACTGTGTTTCTTTTAAAGCTATTTTGTGAAATATATATTCACTGTTATATTTAATAACAGTGAAACCCAGTCTGCTTGTTGTTCTTAATGGGCTTTTTGTATTGCATGTTCTCTAATCTGCATACTTAGACTGACAACAATGACGTGAGACGTGAATGCATCCTCGTATTATATTTCATATAATATTTGGGAAGAAACTTGTTTTTTTCAAGCATCTGAAGCATTGTTTCTCTTTGCCTATTTTGTGAAATACAACTTTATTTCAACATCTCGCGTTTGTGTTATGTTTCCACCCTTGAAGCTCACTAGACTGTAGACTGTTGAAATTATGTTTCTGTTACTGTTCACTCTAAACGTTTGAAATATGTAAACACTCAAAAGTTATTCTTTGAATGAACTTGATTAAATCATGGACAGTATTTCTACATGATGAAATGGCTTTCTTTCAGCTTTAAGCAATTACGTTGACCCAACCCAGGTAAATTAAGTTGGTAACAAACCTTATACATAAGTAGTATCAACCCTAATAGATTATGTTGACCCAACCCAGGTAAATGAAGTTGGTAACACACCTTATAAATAAGTAGTATCAATCCTAATAGATTACATTGACCCAACCCAAGTAAATTAAGTTGGACCAATCAAATTGCTTAATCTTGAAAGAAAGTGATTTAATCATGTGGAAATATTGTCCATGATTTAATTACGTTCATTCAAAGAGTTATTTTTTTGAGTGTAGGTCTGGGTCCGTATAGGTCGAGGTCTGGGTCCGGATCCGGACCGCGGTCCGCCTGTTGCCGACCCCTGGTATAGAGCGTACACACTGAGCCGTTTGCCCCGCCCAGAGCGTTCCGGTTGCAGATCTATCCACCCTTGTTATCGTTTGCGGGGTCCGTTTCCTTGTTTCCGTTACGACCTTGTGTGGCCGAACGGGCTGAACGAAAGAGAAAGGTAGCGGATACAACCGTTTGCGTTATCGTGTAAACACCGCCTCAGTCTCACACCTCCACGTCCCCCTCCCCTTCAGTGTCCCACTTTCCCACACCACTGACCTCCCCCGACACATCAAATTCTCTCTCCATCAATGAAAGGGATGTAAACAAACTTTTTAGAAAACTCAGTAGCAGAAAAGCGGCTGGCCCTGACAATGTCTCCCCCTCCACATTGAAGTATTGTGCTGATCAGCTGTCTCCGGTGTTTACAGACATCTTTAACACCTCACTGGAGACATGCCACGTCCCAGCATGCTTCAAAACCTCCACCGTCATCCCGGTTCCCAAGAAAACAAGGATCACAGGATTAAACGACTACAGACCCGTCGCCCTGACCTCTGTGGTTATGAAGTCCTTTGAGCGCCTTGTCCCTCATCAAATCCATCACAGACCCCCTCCTGGACCCCCTGCAGTTTGCCTACAGAGCCAACAGGTCTGTGGACGACGCTGTCAACATGGCCCTTCACTTCCTCCTCCAGCACCTGGACACAGCAGGAACCTACGCCAGGATCCTGTTTGTGGACTTCAGCTCTCCCTTCAACACCATCATCCCGGCTCTGCTGCAGGACAAGCTCTCCCAGCTGCACATGCCCGACTATCAATCTAGTGAAGAAAAGGATGGATATGCAGAACATTTCCTCTGTTAAGGATGCCTTTGGTAAAGTTAAACTGGATGGCAATGGCATAAATAAGGCTTTGAGGAATTTTATCAGAATCAGAAACAGGTTTATTGGCAGGTTTGTTACCAGTGGCGGCTGGTGGAAAATATTTTTGGTGGAGCTATGGAAATGGTGACCAAACCATACATAAGAAAATGTTGAGAAATTACCCCTTAAATTATGACATCTGGTGATGTTAGAGGGGGGGGGGGGGGGGAGGACAAATTGAGGCTTAAAAATATGAGATAATCCATAATCTTCAGTGTGGTTAGCTATAGGGATGCACGATATTGTTTTTTTGAAACCGATACCGATACCGATAACTTCCTGCTTCTCAAGACCGATAACCGATAATAAAAAAAATGTTACGCCACTAATTATTTTAACGCGATTAACGAATGTGTATTTTTTTTCCTTGGCCGCCCCGTAGTTTCAGAGCGCATCGAGTTTAAAATACCATCTACAAGCTGATGCTGACAGCCCGGCTCCTGCCGCCCGCTTGTGGCAGACCACACTTCCACGCTCACCGGCAGGCACCGACTGGCTATTGGGAGGACCGGGATGGTGTGTGTATGTGTGGCCCGAGCGAGCGAGAGAGAGACCATACGTGCATTGTTGTTGTTAGCATCTGGTGCTAGCTAGCTGCGCTAACGGATATAAGGAGCTGTTTAAATGAAAACAGAGGATCGACATTTCGCCACAACTGCGCCGAGCACTTGACTTTATGCAGGAAGCCAGACAGTGGGACATTGTACGAAAAGCCAGCACACTCAGCACGGATAGTGCGCTCAACATGATTGCAGCGTCCAGGCAGCTCCGGTTCGAGCATATGCCTTGAGTTGCACATAGCTCCAACGCCCATACCACCGACGACATGTTTGTTTACTGTCCTAATTAATAATAATAATTCCTTACATTTATTATAGCGCTTTTTCAATGACTCAAAGCGCTTTACATATACACACATTACACATATATCATACATGCAATGGTCAGATACTGTGGACAATACCCACAGGAGCAAGTTCAGGTGAAGTGTCTTGCCCAAGGACACACCGGCTTTACAAACGCAGCAGCGGCGGGTTTCACCCCTTGATCTGATGATCATTGCACAGCGCACTGCGCCACACCGTCCATCTTCACGCCTCGAGGTCATCGAGGCGCTTTTACAGGTACACATTGGTATTATACATGTACTGTGGACAATACCCACAGGAGCAAATCCGGGTGAAGTGTCTTGCCCAAGGACACAACGGCCTGACGCAGTGGCGGCAGGAGCGGGTTTCGAACTAGAGTTCCCCAGCACTCCCCCTTGATCTGATGATCGGATGCACAGACCACTGTGCCACCCGTCCTGGCTTCACGGCCGCACACCATTTACATCACAGCCAGGCATGAGTTAGGGAGCGCTGGATTTGTGAAGAACTCCCCTCTTCCTAAACCACTAATACCACAGTACTGGCAAAACGGGAGGAGCCGAGTGAAAAACAAGCGCCCCTCATCCCAATCCACCCACACCGCAGTATTTTTTTCTTACCCAAAAAATATATTGTATATTATCGGGGCTATTAATACTGGTATCGGGTTTGTCGGGATGACGTCATAATTCCTAATATCGGACCGATAATTATCGGGCCGATAATTATCGTGCATCCCTAGTTAGCTATGAATCTTCCAAAACTTCCAAATACCTTGTCCTGGACATCGTTTCTACAGTATAAACTGTGCAACAGTACAGTAGGCCCACACAAACTGCAGAACACTGGTGCTTTGGGAACACTCAAATGATTTAATTCCCATTTAAAATCAGGAGTCTGAATACGAACATTATGTGTGTGTGTGTGTGTGTGTGTGTGTGTGTGTGTGTGTGTGTGTGTGTGTGTGTGTGTGTGTGTGTGTGTGTGTGTGTGTGTGTGTGTGTGTGTGTGTGTGTGTGTGTGTGTGTGTGTGTGTGTGTGTGTGTGTGTGTGTGTGTGTGTGTGTGTGTGTGTGTGTGTGTGTGTGTGTGTGTGTGTGTGTGTGTGTGTGTGTGTGTGTCATACTTGCCAACCCGATTTCATCGCCCTCTCCCGGTTTCCTCCCAGGGCCATATTTCTCCCGCATTTCTCCCGATTTCTGACAAAATCAGATTTACTCACGACTGTTTCCACTCTGACTTTAATACAGCTACACCATTGTTTGGTTTCCATGGTAGCAGCGCGCGCAACTCAAAGTCTGAGAGGGTGAGGAGTCACAGAAAACTGAACAAGAATCGACAACTCGACCCTCTGCTCACTCCTTTCCTGTAAGATACAGGTCCAGCCCACACATATGCTCCATGGTGCATTGCCCTTACAACTACAATAAGCATATACATGTTAATCTACAGCTCTGGCGATCCACTAGCACACGGAGTCTCCACCTGCAGATACAGCCATCCTCATCAACTACTGACTGTAGCGTCACCTTGGATACGAGTCCAAACAACTCACAGACTGCATCGGGCGCTGACATTGCCGCCCTGTGACCATCAGATCTGACAACGCTGATTGGCTGAAATTATGTTTCGGCGGCATAGTTTACAGATAGCAACAGTCAGCAATGTGTTGGCTGCTGCTGCTCTGGCTGAGGGCTCCTTTCTTAGCGCCCAGACGAGAGAGGGTAATGATACACGCTGCGGCTAGGCAGGAAACATGTGACTTATCAGTAACTTTAGACATCGTAACACAATTTTAAACGAGATTATATTGTAGATTATACATTTTACTGATACCAACTATATCATATTTACCTTGTTCATTAAAAATAAATATAAATATTTTTTTAATATATTTTTTTATTTCTTTTTAATTACAATCAAACATGTGGGAAGAGGGGGGGCGGAGCCCCTAGCGCCCCTATGGGCCGGCCGCCACTGTTTGTTACCAAATTCATATCCTTTTTGCTTTGCAAATCTTATATTCTGCTCTGCCTTTTGAATTAAGTGTTGCTCTAGTTGCTCTAGTTATTTCAAGATTGGACTCCGTGGGGTCCTGGTTATATGCCCTTTCACATTCAGAAAGTTGTAGTTCTAGCTTCCACTGCTCTTCCGTCTTATAAATATATAATTAGGCCATGGACACTACTCCCACAAAATAGAAGTATACCTCAGGTGTGTCATTACCAGTGGTGACTGGTCATTAGGGGACAGCCCCACCTAGTGTCAGCAGAAAGTATTAAAATAATATTTCCAAAAAAATGCAAAGAAATGCAAAAACAATACATCTTAAAATATATTTTACGATCATGTTTAATCATCTGATTCGTCTATACATTGCTTTTTTAGTCTGTGTTCTTACAGATCGGTAAACAAATATTTAGCTGTCCACTCCTCATTATACACTCGGCACTCAATGTAGACTTTTATTTTCTTTGGTCCACTCATTGTTACAGATGCAGGTTCAAAGGTGAATTAGGTTGAAAGGTGAATTATTGCATCATTGCGTCATCGTTTGTGTCATGTGGTAACCGTTTACGTGCCTTCTTATGACCCACACAGCGTTTTACGTCGCTGATTTTCTCCGCAACACCGCTCACAACAACATCAATAGAGGACTGCGTCGGGTAGTTTTTAATTATACGATGCCAGATTAAATT